TGTCTGTATTATGAGTGCAGTGCATTGTGGGGGGGTCGGTAGATTGCTCAGGTGGGGGGGTCTGTCTGTATTATGAGTGCAGTGCATTGTGGGGGGGTCAGTAGATTGCTCAGGTGGGGGGTCTGTCTGTATTATGAGTGCAGTGCATTGTGGGGGGGTCGGTAGATTGCTCAGGTGGGGGGTCTGTCTGTATTATGTTGATCATATTCTGAGCTGCACTCTCCTTCGTTAGCCAGGCGGAGGCGCAGGCGGTGGACGAGGAGCTCTTCAATGAGTACAGGTTCAGTGTAGATCAGTTGATGGAATTGGCCGGACTGAGCTGCGCCACCGCAATCGCCAAGGTAACCCTACAAGACGGTGACAACACGGCTCTGAGACCCCACTGCATGTCTCCTCATATCACACAAATCCCATCATCCCCCAGCCACTGGGAGTCATGCCCGGGGCTGTCAGTCTATCAGGAAGTGCTCTGATATCGGGAGCGCCTGGGCACCGGAAGTGCTCTGATATCGGGAGCGCCTGGGCACCGGAAGTGCTCTGATATTGGGAGCGCCCGGGCGCAGGAAGTGCTCTTATATTGGGAGCGCCCGGGCGCAGGAAGTGCTCTGATATCAGTAGCGCCTGGGCACAGGAAGTGCTCTGATATTGGGAGTGCCTAGGCACAGGAAGTTAACTAATATCAGGACACAGGAAGTCCTCTGATATCAGGAGCGCCCAGGCGCAGGAAGTGCTCTGATATCAGGAGCGCCCAGGCGCAGGAAGTGCTCTGATATCAGGAGCGCCCAGGTGCAGGAAGTGCTCTGATATCGGGACGCAGGAGGTGCTCCGATGTCAGCAGCGCCCGGCCCTAGCACAATATAATCAGGAGCGCCCAGGCGCAGGAAGTGCTCTGATATCAGGAGCGCCCAGGTGCAGGAAGTGCTCTGATATCGGGACGCAGGAGGTGCTCCGATGTCAGCAGCGCCCGGCCCTAGCACAATATACAACGTATCACATTCGGCTCTCAGAGAAGACCGACCCTTCATATTATGATGTGTCTGATCCAATCCCCGGCTCTCTCTCTCCCCCCAGGCGTACCCGGCGAGCTCCTTCACCTCCGACCTGCCCTCGGTGCTGGTGGTGTGCGGCCCCGGCAACAATGGAGGAGACGGCCTGGAT